TGACCATCTTATTTTATTCTTGCAGCCTCATGAGGTAATGAAGGTATTAATCGCATTTTATAGAAGACGAAACAGAAGCTCAGTAGGTTATCTGTATCAAGCCCTGAGCTCTTTCCTCGACCATGTGCTGTTCCATTTCTGTAATTGCTTATGCAGAGGTGAGTGATGGTGGGCGGGCAGTGAATGAAGGAAGAGGAAGACCAAGAGACACGAAAACCCCTTTCTCTTCTCAGGGAAGCTGCAGTCTTGAGCGAACAGGGAAGTGATGGCATGCTTTGAGGCAGAGATCACAAAGTGGTAGGCTTCCTCAAAACAAAGACATGAGGGCTGGCCCGGTGGCACAAGTGGTTAAGTGTGCGTGCTCCGCTGCGGCGGCCCGGGGTTCGCTGGTTCGGATCCTGGGCGCGCACCGACACACCACTTGTCAAGCCATGCTGTGGCAGTGTCCCATATAAAGTGGAGGAAGATGGGCATGGATGTTAGCCCAGGGCGGGTCTTCCTCAGCAAAAAGAGGAGGATTGGCAGATGTTAGCTCAGGGCCGATCTTCCTCACATAAAAAAAAAACAAAAACAAAAACAAAAAACAAAAAACAAAGACATGAGTCAGCCAGGCTCAGGCACCACCCTGCATGAGCTCCCACTCGGTGTTGGCTTGTAGACCAACCTGAAGGGTACAGATGAGCCACCTGCCTGTGTGGGCTTTACCCTCACTTGCTTGGCTTGCACACTTCCCTGGGGAGGTCTTCCAAGTAGAGGCTTCTCAAACAGGATCTCTGGGCTGAGTCTTCACATGAGCTAGCTCAGTGGAATTGATGGAGGCAAGGGTGGAAGGAGGAGAAAAGCAGCATTTCAGGCAGAGGAGACTGTGAGCAAGGACATACAGGTGGGGTGGGGCACAAAGGAGGAAGCAGGCAGGGATGGAGATAGAGTTGGAGACATGGGGGGGATCAGGTCATGGAAGGTTTTATGTCCTTCAACTGGAGTTGGAGAGTGTGTGGTGTCCAGGAGAGGGGAGAGCCTGAGCAGAGAAATAAATAGGAATGGAAGGGACAGGTTTAGGAAAAGTTTAGATAAGATTGTCAGGGCTGCATGACTGCTACTGCATGAGTCATGCTCATATTGAGTACTCACCATGTGCCAGGCATTGGGCTAAAGCTCTTAATATACATCTTAATGAATCCCAATACTGCCACAAGGTACAAAATATTACCCTCAATAACAGACAAAGAAATTGAAGCTTATAGTGGGGTTTAGTAAACTTAGATTGATGGTGCACACACTGTAAGCAGCAGAGCCAGAATTCACCTTCTGGTCTGTTTTACTCAAAAGCCTTGTTCTTAACCACCATGCAGCCACTGCCTCCCAACAGGTGGGCTTAGGGAGAGGGGGGGCGTCTAGAACCACTCTCAGATTTCGTGCGCAGGTAACTGAGGAAACCAAGAAAGACAACACAGGAGGAGAAGCCAGCTGTGGGGAGCGTAGGGTCAATTTTGGACTCTAGTTTGTGCTGTCAGAAAGAGCAAGTTTAGGGGGCCTATGAATGAGGAACACCAATATGTCTCTCTGTGCCCCCTCCTGAAATACACATTGGCCTTGCAGCACTCAGGGTTCTGCGTTCTGACTCCCCACCCCACTCTCCAGGACAAGGGGGGTAGGCTCTCCTAAGAGGAGGCCCACAACCTGGATGGCACCCTGCAGGGAGACAAGGCTGAGAGGCCTGTGAAGTCAGGGACTGTGGCTGGCAGGTGTAGGGAGCTAGCTCTTTTGTTCTGATAAGGGGGCAGGTGTTGATGAAAAAGAGAGGAGCCCAACCTTTTTCCAACATGACAAACTACAAATCTGATCCGCTGGCTCAGGTGGCCTGCACTCCCTCAAGCCCAGGCTGTGCTGTCTAATCCAACCTGACAAGCCTGAGGCTTCAGGGTCAGCATGCATAGACTTCCAGGAGGGCTCAGACTCTGTTAGGGCCTGAGGTCACAGGTGAGAGAGTCGGTGTGATTGCTGTGATTGTGACTGGAGTGGAGTTGATGGTGGGGACTGTGGAGACTCCATGTGGAGGTCTTTGATTCGCAGCCCAGCACTCTGGTGGGGTGCCCTTGTGTGGTGTATGGTATATGTGGCCTCCTGGGCTCCTGTGAGTGGGATAAGAGAGTGGCAGACCCTCTGTTCTCTGAGGGTCAGGAACGAGCAGCACTTTGTTCCTCAGAGACACAACAGTACTTTCCTTCTTACCTTTCTGCTGGAGCAGGGCCTATGCACCAGAGAAAACATCAAAGAAAGCCCAAGAACTTAGGGACTTCTGGCAAGAAGATGGGAACTCAGTGTTCTGGTGACACCAGAAAGGAGGAGACCAGATAGCAATGTCTCTTTCCTCCCACCCATCCAACCCCCGCAGCACAGGAACTCCTCAAACTCAGGGGACACTCCCTCCTCCCAGACTAGTCTTTATCCAGAAACCTTTCTAGCCTCTTCTCACCTTTGGGCTGTCCTTGCTCTCAGGCAAGTAGAATCCCTGCCCCTGCCCTGCCGTCTGCCAGCTCCTGTCCTTCCTCAGGAGCAGTCAGAGAATCGTACCTCAGCCTGTTTCTTCTATCCCCTCTGCATTTTTTACCAGAAGGGTTGACCAGGGCCAGCAATAATCAGGAAGAGTCGCTCACCCAAGGACCAGTTGGACCTCTTATTCTGTAAGTGTTACAGCTCATGGACTGGGTGAGGCTGAGACCCTGAGGTGGGCCAAGGGAGAGGGGGGAATGGCTGAAGGCGGCTGACCAGCTGAGTGACCTTGGGCAAATGTCTCCTCTCTCTGGGGCATGAGGACTTGGGCTGGAAGATCTCTGAGGTAGAGTCCAGCTTCTGGGGTGTAGGGGAAGGCACAGAGGGAAGGCTAGGGGAACGCTGGAGGCTCCAGGAAGGGGCAGACAGCCATCCTAAGCCCACTTCTGCCTCCAACCACCTTAACTCTGCCAGCAGGAAGAATGGCAGCAGCTGTGGCCTGGCTCCTGTTCCTCCAGCTTGTTCTAGAGCCAACTCTGGCCATGGACAGCAAGCTGCAGATGGCTATCAAGAACTTCCGCACCTTACACATTGACTATCCCAAAGTGAACTATCCAAAGGGTTTCCACGGCTACTGTAATGGTCTGATGGCTTATGTGCGGGATGTCAAGCAAAGCTGGTATTGCCCAAAGATCCACTATGTGGTACATGCCCCTTGGACAGCCGTCCGGGAGTTCTGCAAGTACAGTGACAGCTTCTGTGAGAATTACAATGAATACTGTACACTCACCCAGGACTCCTTCCCCGTCACGATCTGCTCTCTGGGATCCAGACAGCCTCCCACCAGCTGCCGCTACAATAGCACCCTAACCAACCAAAGGCTCTACCTGCTCTGTTCTCGAAAGTATGATGCTGAACCTATAGGTATCATTGGCCTCTTCTAGGGAAGGGACGGTTTCATTCTGAACCACCTCCTATCGACACCACAGACCAGCCTGTCCCCATTCCCCAAACTCTGATCCTTGGTACAAGGCTTTCTTCCTGACTTTGAAGGCAGGCAGGCTCCTCCCAAGAGACTAGGGAGGGTAGGAAAAATGTCCAGAGCTTTGGTCACCATGCAAAGTCACACTGTCTTCTAGTCCCAACTTGTTTACCTCCCCTTCCCCCATCATCCTCCCTCTCCCACAGACAGTTTTACCTACCCAAGACGCTGACTGTGTCCAGTTGGCAGTGACTGTCCATCCACTGGGCCAGATCCTGAATCCTGGATGGAGGCCTGAAGCCTCAGCTCACACCATGGCAACATGCACCCAGCTCCGCATCTCAACTCCCCATCCCTCTCTTCTCAGCCTCTCCATTTCCTTAGGACTCCCTCTACTCACTCACCCACATAGTGGGTGTCTCTAGCTATAGGAACCTCCCTGAGACCCTTAGGCTCATTTTAGCCTCACTTCCCCAGAACTCCCCTCAGTTCCCAGTCTTCTCCTCTCTATGAAATCACTGATCTTCTCTTCATGTAACCTGTCCTTTCCTCCCTCCTTCTACCATGGAGACCAGTGCAGTCTGTTCCCCACACTCCCAACCTCCTTTATTCACTCTGTCTTCCTTTCTCTGGCCTCTTTTTCTTCCTTGACTCACTGGGGTCTCAAGTTATCTTCTCTGACCTATCCCCCTAAAGATTCCTGCATCCCTTTCCTTCTCAAAGCTCCTCCTGACAGCCTCCAAACTCCAGGATCTGCCGCTGATAAGACAGGGGTGAGGTCGGCCTAGCTGTAGTCACAGAAGGTTTTAAAACCACATCTGAGTTATGTAAGATACAACCATTGGATGAAACTGGGTGAAGAGTACATGGGACCTGTCTGTATTATATTTGCATCTTCCTGTGAATCTATAATCATTTCAAAATAAAAAGACAAAACATATCTAAATCAGTCCTGATTTCATTCCTTTCTCCTGGAGAGTATCAGAACTCCTACTCTCAGAGTCCTGCAGGCCCCACCTCTGGCCATCTTTCTAGACTACCCTTAGCAGTCAGTAGGCTCATCTATTCCATGTGTACCATGATGGAGGCGGGGTGGGGTAAAACTCAGTTCCAGGTTGGGTGTTGAAAATGGATTATCCCTTCCCTCCAGCTCTAGAGCAAACTCATAATAAGTGTCAGACTAAGTAGATCCTTGGCCCACCCTCGCTCACTTCTATTTCTCACCCAACAAAACCTGGGCTGCCACAGATGAGGAAGGTGGAGGGACAGGGAAGGGTCTAGTTGGTGATATCTGGGTCATACCATGTCAAATCAGGACTTGCTGCTCCCCTTTAGGAAGTAGAGGAGAATGCATACCAGTATTATGTGAGCACAAGTAGCAAATACTTTTGCCTCCACATCTGGTTCATCTCATCTCCAAATATAGTCCTCACTCCTGTTCTTAGAAACAGCTGTTGAGGGAAATGCTAACTTATGGTTGAGAGGCATGAAGCTAAGTAGCGTAAAGGGTGTCAAGCTGGAAACCCTGCCACCTTGGGCTTTCTCTTCTCTTCTCTTCTTTCTCTACCAGTGGGCCCACTGGTCCCTCAGCTTGGTGGAAGACAGAGCTCATTAGCTGCTGCACACACAGATGTTTATTGTTCCCCAGTTCCCTGGTGTTGAGGAGGCGGGGTCAAGGCCAAGATGAGGCTAGTCACTACTTGCTGCCCTTCTTATCATAGGTGCCAGCACCCTTATAGCCACTCACGTAGCCTGAGTTGTCAGTCATGTCTTCCCGTCCTGCTATGCCCTTGCCTTTGCCACTCTCATCAAAGCGCTCCTTGTGGGTGCCCGTGTACTTGCTGGTGTCTGTCAGCCGGCTCACCCTGCCCACCGTCGTCGTTTTCTGCAAGCCAAAGAATGATGGGTCTGATCCCCCTCTTCCTTCCCCTCCACTGTCACACCCTTCTCTAAAGTCGGCCCTTGATTCTGCGAGTGCTCAGAGCTACTGCTCTCCCAGTGGCACGGTGCTGCATTCTCAGGGACCAGAGGCAGCCGTGGGCAGAAACTGGGACAAGAGCCATCCACTCCTCAGGGAGGAGGAGTCTGTGGTGTGGGAATGAGTGGAGGGGGGTGGATTTTTCTGCTTCCAGAGGAAGTATTTCGATCAGGCTGCAGCCAAAGAACTTCAACCCCAGACCCAATATGCAAGGTCCCTCCTTCTGGGAAGGCCCTATTTGAAACCTAGAGTAGAAAGAGCTTTTAGCAGAGAGGGGACAAATAGGGAACAGAGGGTGGGCGAGAGGCAGGAATTCAGAGATTAGACCTTCCATAAGAGCAGGAGGAGGAGTGGGGATCAGGCACCAAGTCCTCTGCACTCAGGGTCCCCCAAAAGCCACCAGGCCCTAGTTGCCTGGCTCAGATACTGGAGACTTGGGAATGAGTCTAAATTTTACTATTAAAATAGCTGTGGACCTTGGGCGAGTCACTTCCCCTCTCTGGGCCACAGTTTCTTTGCCCCTGAAATGACTAGATGATCTATAAAGTCTTCCAATACCAACAGTCTCCCTACAGTATCACAGCAGGCAGGGGTGAGGGACACGGGAGGGCAGGAGGGGAGATGGGAGCAGCAGGGATTTAGGGAAGTATGGTAAATTAGGTTTAGGGAGGAAAAATGTCACTCACAGTAACACCAGTGGTAGCTGGATCCTTGCCCTCCATGAGTTTATAAATGTCCTCCAGGGCTTCATCTGGGTTCTTCCCCTTGAACCGCTTCTGGCTCAGTTCCTTCATTGCCTCCTGGAACTGTTGAAATGTGATGGTTCGGGCATTCTTGGCCCTGGTCAGTCAGACAGAAATCCAGGAACTCTGGAACATGAACTCATCACCTTCTAAGGCCCAACCCTCCCCTCACTCAGACTTGGCCTCTTGACACTGAGAGTCTTGAGGACAGGGAATAGCACAGCGCCAGGTACCCAGTAGGTGCACAGTAGACCCATTACAAATGTTCTGCCACGTGAACCCTTCCATGTCCACTACCTTGTTTGTTCTCCTCATCACACCCACTCCCATCTTTGGTCCCTTACTTGACTTTGCTGAACACAATGTCCACATCAGTGGAGGTGACCGTTTTGCCATCCATGATGCCACAGTCTTTGCACAGCTTGGAGAAGTTCTTGTTGTTCATTTCAGTGCCACTGCTTGATGATTCTCCAAAGACAGCAAATCGCTGGAACATTTTCTCTGCTTCTGATGCCATGGTCAACTGGAGGTGAGGGAGGGTGGTAGGGAGGGAGACTCGGGGGTGAGGGAGGAGGGGAAGGGAGGACTGAGGAGTAATGAGGATGGAGGTTAACATAAAATCAGAATCAGCAATAGGAACAAACCCCTTCCTCCCCTTTCCTCTCTCCCCTCTTCCCCCTTACTCCCATCCCACCTACCATTCCCAGCACTGGGGATACTAGTGTGGATCCTACATACTGAACAATCACCACCACCACCCACTTCCCCATCACTTTTGTGTACCTAAGAGTGCCTGGATGGTGTCCGACCCTTCCCAGCCTTTGTATTTAAGTGTGTGACTGGGGAGACTGTGTGGCAACGGGGAGACAGAGGGAGGAAAGGGAAGCTTCTATGACCTCAGCAGTGTTTATGTGACATCACCTCCAGCCTCAGCTACAGCTCTAGTCTTTGGGAGAGGGGTCTTTGGTTTCCCTACCTCACATGCTGCATTAAGCAAGTAGCCAACTTTCTGATCTCTCCAGATGATCAAACTTCCCTCGTTATTTCAGCCCAGCTTGACCCAGTCCTCTGGGTCCTGGTCAAACTGTCTTATGCTCTGCCCCTCAACAAAAGCTGAGGAGAGCCCAGGGAAGGGGTTAATAAAAACAGGTTGGTATCAGTCCAACATTGCCCTCCTTCCTAGTCTCCAGGCCCAGGTTGGTGATCAATATGGAGAATCCCACTGGCTTTGGCAATACTTCAGTAAGAACTTTAAATGGTTTCCAACGTTGGGCCCAACATGGAAAGAACACAGGCCTTGGAGTGTAACACATCTGGGCAGATCAGGGTGAAATAGGTCAGAGTGAGGGTGAGTCTCAGACTCTGAAAATCTTCCAGAGAAGTTTCTGTGCAAGTCAAGTATGATCCTCAGAGGTTTCTCTTTGGCCTTTTCTCTGGCCAGAAGCCATATAGATGGATGAACTTCAGGGATCTTAAAATAGAGTAACTGGGTTGGTGACTTCCCTCCCCTTCCTATCTAATCAGTCAACAATTCCTATAAATGTGTTTTCTTTGTCTTACAAATCCATTCCTTTCTTTCCATTTTCTTATTACTCTCACACTTATTCAAGTCCTTTTCATCTCATATCTAGTTGATTACTCTGGCTTCTAAATGACCTCTTTCCTGAGTCTGAATGCTTCACCTCCACCCACCCCATAATCATCTCTATTACCCCCCATCAGATTAATTTTCACAAAACTATTTTTTATCCATTACTCCTGCTCAAGAGCACTCTATGGATCTTCAGTGCCAAACATTTTGGCCTGTCATTCAAGGACCTTCACACTTGGCCCCAATCTACCTTACCAAACAGCACCCACCTCTCATCAACATTATTCTTCATCTGGGGCCATAATGGCCTAATTACTATACACTGAGAGGCTACCTGTAGTGGAAAGAGCCCAGCCTTGGAGTGAAATGAATCTGGGTGGGGATTTGAGTCCCAGATATGTCATTTACTAGCTGGTTGGCCTTGGGCAGGACACTAAACATCTCTGAGCTTCAGTTTCCTCAACTGTACAGTGAGGACAATAATACTTACCTTATAGTATTGGGGGACAATAAATGGGAACTACCTTGCACATAGTAGCTACTATTCAGTTCTTCAAAGTAACTTGTATATTTCTGCCCTCAAACTTTCCCTCGTGCTCTCTCTCTTTTCAGATAGAATGCCCCTCTCTCCTACTCAAATACTCCATGGTTGCATTCCTCGTAGGGTAGTTCACCCTAGGAACAAAATCCTTTTCCTCCTCTGAATCACACTAAGAGAATGGTTCCTAGCCTGTGGGCTGCAGCCTCCTGGGGTGAGGTCTGCAAGGTCCCCTGGAATCTATATGTATACAGAAGATTGATTGTCAACTGAATAAATAATATGCTTTGCACATGTAGGTATTACTACATACATAGAGGTTGTGATTATCAGAATCCTGTACAAGCTTATTTGAAACTATTGCTGAATTCATCATTTGTTTCCATCAGCAGATACTAAAGCCATCACGTGGGAATGGGAATCTTTGATCTCCCATTTGAGAAGGGTGGGAAACTATTGCCATAGGACTTATTGTCTAAACAATTAATCATATATATATCCATCATTTTTCTTAGTGTCTCCTGTCTTTACACCTCCTCTCAACTACTTGATCATAAGCTTCTAGAGAGGGTGCGACTAGACTTCACACGAATTCCATGCATTCACAGTGGCTTGCACACAGCAGGTACTTAAAACTGTTACTTAGTTGAAGGCATAGTTTGAAGCTGCTTCTGGCCCAAGAGAAGGAAGTTAAAGAGAGAGATTATTCTTGTTGGGCCACTTACACCTGGGCTAGGCTGGGACCTGCTGTGACAGAGAGGAACCCTATCTTAGGGCAGAAGCAGCCTCATTTCTGCCTGCAGCAGGCTGAGACCCCTAGGCCTAGGAAGCAAACAGATCCCAGTGGAAATTTCCCATCTCCTGTCTGCCCGTCCCCCTGCATAGGCCCCTTATCAGGTTCCCCCTGAGTCATCCTGACCCAGAGACGAATTTAGATGCTGGAACCCTCAGGTCCTTCCCTCCCCCACTCCAAGTAAGCTGACTTGAGACACATCAGAGAAAGCTGCAGGCAAAAGTTCTCCCTCTAGGCATTCCCTCTACCCCAGTTCCAGTAGGGCTGGTGAGCTCTCTCTCCTTTCCTATGCGTCTTTATCTGTGATCCTAATTCCAGCAGGCTTTTCCTTGTCCAGGAGAGTGTTAAACTGGCATCCGGAGGGGAGAGGGGACTAGGCAAGGAGCCAGGGTGCCCAACTTCTGTGCCAGTTTCTGGGGAAATAATTATGAAGGGAGTGGGGGAAGGGAACAGAGGAAACTTGGGTGCTCCAAATTGGGGGATGTAGGGGGGTCCTTTGGATTTGGGGTTGTTGAAAGCTGGGTTTGATCCTGACCAGTTCTACTCGGGTCACCTCCTCCCTCTTGGCCTCTCCTTTCCAATAGACGGCTGCCAAGTGAGGATGAAAGGAGCATTGATGTTCCTTGGACGGGAGGGGGGTTGTGGGCGGTGAGGGTGATGGTGGGGGGTGGTTCCCAGGCAGGAGGGGGAAGGGCAATTTGGGGGTCTTGGAGGGGGCAGTCTGTGCTGGTGTTGCACTTGGCAGCTCCAGTTCCATTGGCCATTGTTCCCAACTGGCCTGGCGCCCAGCCCCCGAAATGGCAACTCAGGAGCCAGGATGAAGGAGGATGGGGTGGGGACCCTGGGGGAGGGGAGCTGGAAGGGGTACAGGTGGGGAGAAATTCAATCTGGTTTTCATTTGCCTAAGACAACTCCGAATCCCCTTGGCCACATAACTATCCCATCCCAGGTGGCCTTCCTCTCAGGGGCTCAGGGAAGGTGCATCTAGGTCGGGGGAGAGCAGAGCGAGTGAGGAGTCTAGGATGGCAAACCCACCCAGGCCCCGAGAGAGACGCAGCAGTCTCTGAGAAATCAGCGCCTGGGCAATGCGATTCAGCCCGGCTGAGCTGGTCTCACCATCCTTCTCTGGGCCGGAGTAGGAGGGGTTAGCACCCAAGCCACAGGGTCTCTTGGGTCCCAGCCTGGGACACTGCGTCCTCCCCAAGCCCCTACTCCACTCCCGCAGAGTTAACTCCGCCCCCGCGCCTGTTTACTCTAGAGTCTGAGCCCCCGGGGGGTCCCTGGCCCCTCCTCTGCCCCCCCTTGGGGCCTTGACCCAGGAGTCCCCGTTGGCCATCCTCTCCCCCCCTTCCTGCGATCTCCCTCTATTTATAGCGGCCCCCCGCATTCCCCGCCCCCCCTCCCCCCGCCTTGTTTTCCAACTTCTCAGGGAGCAGCCGGAGAGCAGACGTCGGGACGGAGCAGAGAGAAGAGGTACCAGGACCGCCGGCGCACCGGAGTGGGAACTCCTGCGCCTCGGACGGCCCCCCCACCCCCAGTCCTTGCAGGCACACCTGCCCCTCCCAGCGGGCGAGACCCCCGCCTTCTCAGCGGCGATCCCCGCCCACCTCCTCCTCCCTTAACCTAGCTCTCTGTTTCCGGGCGTGTGGAGTCGAAATCGTGGGGTGTCAGCACCCTGGGTTCGTCTCCCCCCTACCGTCCCCACCACTGAGTCTGGGGACGAAGGAAGGAGCCAGAGTGCGACAGGCAGATCCAGGTCACGGGTGGGGGCGCTGCTGAGGGCGGGCGTGGGGATCCCCCGCACGACTAAGGGATTCCCGCACACCCACAGCCTCCCTGTGGCGGGGGGGATGTTGTGCGGAGCGCGCGCGGAGCTTGGGAGCACCCAGCACTTTGCTTTCCTTGGAGTTCCCTCCGCCCCCCGCACAGCCCCTCCCTGAGCGGCAGACAGCGTGGGGCGGGGTGAGGGGGGGCGTGTTTACTGGGGGTCTGGGGCGGATCCGCAGGGAGCCGTCGGCCCGTGGGCGGGCTGGGGCGGGCCGGGGGCGGGTCTGTGGGGAGCCCAAGCCCGGGCGGGCCGGAGAGTCAAAGGCAAGTGAAGGTGGAAGCGGCCGCGGCGGCAGCAGGTAGGGGGAGGGGCAGGCGAGGGGCCGCAGGCCCTGGAGAGCGCCAGGCGGGCGGGTGGGCCCTTTGATCCCGCTCCCTCGGAGCCGACCGCTCGCGGGAAGGGCCGGCAAGGAGGAGGCGCTGGGCTGCTGCGCACAAAGGCGGAGGCTCCGCTAGTGCCAGGGCGTGTTTGGGGCGTGCGCGAGCTTGTGCCCAGGGTCCAGGGCGCTTCACGCGAGGGTGTCGGTCCCCACGCGGACGGGCAGCATAGGGACCCGTAGGGACAGGCCCCGGGTGCTGGGCCCCGTCAGTCCCATCCGTCGTACCCATCCCTTCCCAGCTGGCGCTCGGCCCTTGTGGGTCGTCTGGGGAGGCTGGGAGGAGATTGTGGGACCGCCCTCTCCCCCTTTCTCCACTCGCGGGACCTACTTGGAGACTGGGTGGAGAAAAGAAGTGAAGGCACGAGGCTTTTAAAAATTTGTCTTTGAATGGTGGTTGGAAATGGTCATGCTGTGCTATCCTCGTTTCACTCGAGAGCTGTAAAAAATCTTGGGGATACTCTGGTCCCCACTTCTAGTTTGCAAATAGGAAATCGAGGCCAAGAGTACTAACTGACTGGGCCAAGGTCACTCTGGTAGCTGCAGAGCAGGGACTAGAATCCAGAGGTTCTGACATAAGCCACCTCCTTTCTTCCACATCAGCACTTCCTTCTCTCCTCCCTCCAGCCGGACTGATACCTGCTCCCCCAGGCCCCTCCAGCCTGTATTGATTCTGGTTGAAGCCTAGAAAAGACATGTTCATTGGACCCCGGAGGTAGAGATTGGGGAGGGTTAGTGACCTGGGGAGGGTTGATCACCCAGGTAGTCTAGGACTTGGCTGAGGCTTTCTGTCCCTAAAAGACCCAGGGTCTGTCTCCCATGTCATTCACCTCATTGCCTTGTTTTCTCAGACCCCAGAGCCAGGAAGAGTGAGAACCCTGACCCCTAACCCCACTGCATCCAGCCAATAGGAGCCCAGTAAGTGACCCCACCTCCAGGCTGCAGGCTCTTTTTTCCGCAGTTCTGCATAGGTGCTCTGCTCCTCCTGGGCCCCACTAATGTTGAATGTATGCTAATTTATTTACAGTCGGGAGGGAGAGTCTTGGGAGGAAGGGAGGCATTGGGTCAGTTGGACACATATTTCCCTTGTCCCTCTTTTCTTGTTTCCCCCCTTCCCCTTTTGGTCATGTTACTCGGGTCATTTTTAGCCCCTTTCCCTTTGAGCTGCTGACCTTGGGGCCTGAGTTGAAGGTCACAGTCAGTTGTGAACTCTCACTACCCGTCCCTTAGTCTTTTTGGAGTACCCAGTCACTGAGCCAGGAGTTTCTCTCCCTACCTAACTGGGAGTGTGGGGTGGCCCCTAAATATAGCCTGGGAAACCCGAGCTGCACTGCGGCCCCACCCTGATATTTCCATCCAGATAGGGGAGGGGGTCCGGAGGTGTGGGTGTGCGGGGAGCAGTGGGGGTGGCCAGTCTGAGGAGAAGTGTTGTCCTGATTCCTCCTCCACAACCGCTCCTCCTCAGTGGCCTGGACATGGAGCTAGGGGCAGGAAAGACTGTGTGTGTCCTGGAGTAGTCTTCATATCTGGGGCCCTCTGCACCCTGCATTGTCCTGTGCTGAGAAAGGGAGTGAGGTGTTCCAGGAGATGTGGGGTGTGGAAGCAAGCTCTCTAGTCTCCGTGTTTCCTCACCCTGCCAGGCCACCATGGCGGAGCTGCGGGAAGTGCAGATCACGGAGGAGAAGCCGCTGTTGCCAGGGCAGACACCTGAGGTGGCCAAGGTTGTTAGAGACGCTCTGACTCCCAGGCCCGACCTCCAAGCATCCCCTCACCTCCTGCCTTCCCCAGTCGGTGATCTCATTCTAACCCACACCCCTACTTTCTGTGCCTCTACCCCTGTCTCTCTCCCCATACACAATCGGCAGTGCAGGCCTTTGTCCTGTCAGTACACTAACCTTCATCCTCTCCATGTCTCTTTTTGTCATCTCTTTCTGTGTTTGGTCTCTTTACCTACTTCTCTTTATCTGTGTCTGTCTCTCCATCTGTGACTCTGCGTGGCTCTGTGTTTCTGTCTGTGTGTCTCTCTCCAGGAGGCTGAGTTAGCTGCCCGAATCCTCCTGGACCAGGGACAGGTAACATCTGGGGGCAGTCCCAGGGTGGGAGGAGGGGCTCTCTTCTCCCCCTGGAAAGAAAGGCTCTACCTGGCTCTTTCTCCTCTCCTTCTATTCCAGTCCTTTCCTGTTCCCATCTCTCCCCTTTCTTTCCATTCTCCTCCCTTCTCAGAGTTCCTTGATGTTCTCCAATCTTTCATTATTCTTTTCCACCCTCTAAATCATCTTCCACTGTCATATTTACCTAAACTAAACTCTTGCTGATCCCATTTCTAATTCTTTGTTCCCTTCACCTCTCTTTGCCCCTCCTCCCACCTCAACCCCCCAACTTTTGTGGGGCTCCTTCTGCCTCTTCTCCTCTCAGCCAACTCCTCCCTGATGGTGACCTGTTTTCCTGCAGACTCACTCTGTGGAGACACCTTATGGCTCTGTCACTTTCACTGTCTATGGCACCCCCAAACCCAAACGCCCAGCGATCCTCACCTACCATGATGTAGGACTCAACTGTAAGGACCTTCACTTCCCCTCCCACTGCTTTTTGGAAAGAGGCTGGGGGGCAGGGTGAACCCCAGGGTAAGGGGCAGGGTCAGCATGAGCAGGAAGGGAGCCATGTGGCATGTCTAGGAGAAGTTCTCTCCTAGTCTGACTGTGGCCTGAAAGAAAGAGGGTGGGTTCTGACTCGGGGACGCTTTTCCCTGTCTGATTCTACTGTTGGGGCGATGGGGATTCTCTTCAGGTAAATCTTGCTTCCAGCCGCTGTTTCAGTTCGGGGATATGCAGGAAATCATTCAGAACTTCGTGCGGGTTCATGTGGATGCCCCTGGAATGGAAGAGGGGGCTCCTGTGTTCCCTTTGGGGTGAGAATTAGCTCCCTCCCTCCTCACCAGACCTTGAGGCACAGGGCAGGTGTGGGGAAGATTGGACCAGGGGAGGAGGAAAGAGGGGGCAGTGGAGGTTCTGGTAGAGGATGAGTCAGACATCCTGAGATGGGAGGAGTAGAGGCAGGTTGATAATTTCCTTAACATTCCTCTCTTCCCCAGATATCAGTACCCGTCTCTGGACCAGCTTGCGGACATGATCCCTTGCATCTTGCAGTACTTAAAGTGAGAGGCCTGGGGACCCCTCCAAACCAGAGTTCTCTTTCCCGCACAAGGTGGCTCTTAGAACTCCTGTGTTCACCATGGTTCCTGGGCGAGTTTTGGCCTCTGGCCTAGATATATCCTTCCTCCTCTATGCTCTCACCTGATTGTTGAGAGGAATGGGGTGGGTTTTGAAAACTGACTTGAGTCAGCCGTGTAGCCCTAATGGATGGAGGAAAGGAAAAGGCAGGGTCTGTGTGTGGCTCTGCCTCAGGCTGAAGAGGGGCTTCCCAATTGGGATACTAGAGAGGAAAAGGAGGGGGTGACGATCCCTGAGGAACCAGGTAGACTTGTCTCTTTTCCTCCCACTCCCCACTCCTCCATACCTACACCTGGTGACGTGGGAGCCCTGTGTGTAAGGGAGAATGGGAGAAGGAAGAGAAAGCAGACGAGGCCTCCTTGGTATGCACACGAGTGCTGACAACTCCTGGGCGCTGTCCTTGGCTCAGCTTTTCCTGGGCACCAGGGCCCCGGGCAGCTCTGGGTCACCTCTTTGGCTCTGTTTCCTCCATTCTCCCTGTTGTTCACTGAAGTTGTGTCTTTTTTTACATCTTGCTTCAAGTTCCCTTCTTCCTAGTTCCTCTGGAGGAACCAGGAACTAAAGCAGAACAAGTTGAACTAGCTCCTTTGAAAGTGGAGAATGGACAAAGAGCTACATAGGAAAACAGTGTCTGGTTGGTTGGTGGATGGGTGTTTCTTTTCAAAACATTAGCTCTCCAGGAGGGAGTTGGGGACGGACTTCAGGGACCTACACTGACTACCAGTGTCAATTTTTAGCTTCTTGGCACATTCCTTGTCAGCATCGCCCAAAGGAAGGCCCTCCTGTGTGCCTGTGGACTTGGGAAGGAGGGTGAGGAGTTTGGAGACTAAAAGCTTTGGACACCAGGGCCCATTAGACATATGTTTCCCTTTCACAGTTTCTCCACAATAATTGGAATTGGTGTGGGAGCTGGAGCCTACGTCCTGTCGCGATATGCTGTAAGAAATAAAAACCCCCAGATGAGGGAAGGGCAGGTCCAAGGCCCGTGGCAGACTGATTAGGAGAGCATTGTTTGCTAGTGTGTGTTTGGAGGGAGGAAATGGGTCCGAGGGTGGGGAGGCAGGCCTCATGGGAGCTAAGAGTGGGTGGAGCTCAGTGGGAAGAGGATAAGGCCCTGCCCTACCTCTGACTTCCCTTACTTCTGCTGCCCCTCAGCTTACCCACCCGGACACAGTCGAGGGTCTTGTCCTCATCAACATTGATCCCAATGCCAAGGGTTGGATGGATTGGGCAGCCCACAAGGTTTGGAGGGGCCTGTGTGCTGAGATCTAGGTGGGGGGTTCCCCTCATATGGGTCCTGTTAGGCTCTACCAGCATAACTGATTGGCCTGTGAACTTTAAGGAGGCGGGGAGGATGGAGCAGGAAAGAAACTGTGTTGCTTTGCCTGGGTCTCTTCTCCCCGTAGTGTCCCGAGCTTTCTCACCTGCCCTTTCCTCATAGCTAACAGGCCTCACCTCTTCCATTCCGGAGATGATCCTTGGACATCTTTTCAGCCAGGTAAGTGGGTGTGGAAGATGGAGGAAGAAGAGGGGACCAGCAGGGACTTGAATGCCTGGGGTGACTTCCTTAGCTGGGACAGGATCTGGGGAGGGAAGAAGGCTTGCCTCTTTGCATCCAGTAACTGTTGGCTTCTCTTCCCAACCCTAGTTTTCTCCCTCTTCTTTCCTTCAGGAAGAGCTGTCTGGAAATTCCGAGTTGATACAAAAGTATAGAAATATCATTACACATGCACCCAACCTAGACAACATTGAACTGTACTGGAACAGCTACAACAAGTGAGTGGCCAGTGTGTGTGTGTGCATGCATGTGTGCAGGTGAGAGAGATGTAGAAGCGGTACCAGGGGGGCATGGGGAAGCATGGAGGGGGAAGGGGAGGTCTGGGAAGTACGAGGTGTGCTGGGAGGGCAGGATTTGGTGTGCAGCTGGGGCAGCTGCAGGTCAGACCCAGTGGGAAGAACTGTGAGGAGCTGTCCCCCTTTCTCCTGTGGACTTCCCTTGGATTTTTGGATTCTGAGAAGTAAAATGACCTCCTGTCCTCATGCCTTTCCTCCCCCTTCGCTGCCCTCTCACCAGGGATTGTGCTTGAGGCCTGCCTGCCACCTTTCCCTTCCGTTCCCACTTTTAATCACCAATATTTGACTATAATTTTGGGGAGGAGGATAGCTTCCTCATGGGGGAGATAGCGTATCTCTGGATGGATAGCGTCACCTGCCTAAAATTCCTACTCCTCTTTTAACCCCAATCTAGCCGCCGAGACCTGAACTTTGGGCGTGGAAGTGACATTACCCTCAAGTAAGACTTTAAGAGATAAAGCTTTGCCTCTCCCTGCATCTGCCCTTGGTGCTTATATCCTTTAGAAGAAGGAGAGTCTTGCTGGGGAATTTTCTGTCACATCCCACCCCGTCCTATTTGGCAAATCACCTCCCTCTGGGTCTTCCCCTTTTGAATCCTCTTGGTGAGGTCAGTGGGGTTCAGAAGGCTGCTCCCTCTTTGGAGCTAGACATTTTTCCAGCTGCTCTTCTGGGAAGAGGTGAGTGAGGGAGTGCCAAGGGCTCACCGCTTCCTCCCCGACACTATGCCTCTAGGTGTCCCGTCATGCTGGTGGTAGGAGACCAAGCACCCCATGAAGATGCAGTGGTCAGTAGGGAATTTTGGGGTGGGTGAGGGAGGGTTGGAGTGTTGGTGGTCAGTGGGGTCCCTTGCCAAGAGGCAAGCTCTTTGGGACAGGGAGAGCAACTTTGGGGAATAAGAGGTTGATATCTGGTAAGAAGGGAATGGGTAGGGGGCTGATGGGAAAGCAACTGGGTTCTGTGTCCCTGGGTCTGTGGATGGGAGGGGCCCCAGGGAGTGTGACCTCATTCATTCAGCCTCCTACTTCCTCCAGGTGGAATGTAACTCAAAACTGGACCCCACCCAGACCTCTTTCCTCAAGGTCAGTAACCCTACTCCATGCCCAGCCTGACCTGGCCCCCTGTCCAGAGCCGTATATCCTCTCTAGATTCAGCTTCTGGGCCTCCAGGGTCCTGCATGGGAGCAAGTGGGGTGGTTGAAGTAAAAAAACAAAAAAAAACCCCTAAGGGCCTGGAATCAGGAAGCTAGGGAAGAGAGACCCTTTTCTACCTCTCGCATGGCTCATTTTATTTATGTGCATATCACTTTTTCTGGGTGGCTCTCTCCTGAACAGATGGCCGACTCTGGAGGTCAGCCCCAGCTGACTCAAGTGAGTACCCCTGCCATCCATGGGATGAACTGTACACTGTGCCACACACCCCACCCCCAGCTAGCCACGGCCTCGGGCTCTAGCTCAGCTTCTAACCTCACCTCATTGTCTCCCTCTCCTCTTCTTACTTCCACAGCCAGGCAAGCTGACTGAGGCCTTCAAGTACTTTCTGCAAGGCATGGGCTACAGTAAGTATGGGGTGAGAGGCTATCATGAGGACAAGGGATTGCTGCACAGGAGGAGGGATGGACACTGAGGGAGAGTAACCCTTTTGGGCTAATTCCTAGACTTACGACCATCTGCCAAATCAAGCTCATTGACCCCTGGCCCCATTTGTAACTCTCGTCTCCACCCAAGCCCCCACCTCTGAGTTGCCAGCCTCTCTTCCCCTGTCCTCTCTGACTGCCCTCTTATCCTTTTGTCTCCACAGTGGCCTCATCCTGCATGACTCGCCTGTCCCGGTCTCGCACAGCCTCCCTGACCAGTGCAGCGTCCATCGATGGCAACCGGTCCCGTTCTCGCACCCTGTCCCAGAGCAGCGAGTCTGGGACTCTTGCTTCGGGGCCCCCGGGGCACACCATGGAGGTCTCCTGTTGAAAGACCCTTGTTGCTCTGGTGTGGGACCCAGCCCTCACCTCCCCCAGCACTAACCTGGGAGGTGCATAGGGCACTGGGCCAGAGTGAGCAAGGGAAGATGGGCAGATCTTGTGCGGAGATGACCTTGATCTTTTGATTGCTACCCTAACCTTGACCTCTAACCTGTCATTCCCCTCAGCTCCTGGGAGAGATGTCCTAATATCTCTTAGGGACTCAGACCCCTAAATTTTCCCTCTCCCTCATTTTGGTGTTAAGGCGGGGAGGGCATGTATCCCCTCTCCCTAATGTAGGTGTCCATAGATAAGGGATAAGAGGTTGTTGTAGTTGTCCATGGTGCCTCCACCACACTCTCCCTACTTATCCCATTGCAGGGGTAGGGGACTTGGGCTGAGGCTCCATTCACCAAAGCAGATATGGCCTCTCATTAACCCTTCAGATCTCTGAAGGTTATGGGCCTAAATGAGTGTGAGTCCGGGGAGGCTTACTTGTGGGTTAGTGGTCCTCAGGATGTGATAGCAACATCCAGTGTGTGAAATGGAAGTTGGAGCGGGAGGTGGTGGGCAATGAACAAGTATGCGGGAAGGATCGGAGCTGGGGCAATAGGAAGGGGCCTGGGGCCACTGGCTACACTAACTTTTGTGGCTGTCTAGACAGTGTGTGTCTAGAGTGGGAGGCGGGAGGGAGCCAAGCTGGGGCAGGGCTGCTTGGGGCTTGGCGTAGGGGTGGGAAGGGCTACCTGACTACAGTGTGTTATGTGTGGAGGGTGCCCTCCTGTCTTCTACAACTTCTGCTGTAACAATAAACTGTAGAGGAATCTGAGCATCATTCTTCTTCTTTGTCTGGGTATGCCTGCCCCATGCCCCTTTTCCTGTCCTCTCCCTTTTCAACTCTCACCTTCTCTTCTCAAAGTGACATGTACCATGGGAGAGGGCTTATAAAATGTGACTACATAGTCACTGGTCCCTATTCCAGTAGAATGGTATTATTCTTGATATTGATAGTATTTTCAAGTTTTGGGAGAGAGGAGCTATTCATGTCTTAGAAGCCTTCCTTATTAGGAAGGAGAGAAATGCCATGGGATTTCAGAGATGTCACCAACATCCTGATCTTACAGAAGAAAATACAGAAAGCTGACTAAAGTGCTCAAGGACATCTTGTGACCCACCCTCCTGCAGGATGCTCCCTAGGGGTCACCTAGATTCCATTTTAGATGGTTCAGTACAATCAGTAGACCAGGCCTCATGCAGTTACTAGAGGGGTTGGGTTGCTCCTAGTTGATCTCAATCTGAAGACTCCTTCAGGAGAGTCACAGCAACAAGGATTTCCTCTCAGGAATTCCTTCTCCCCTATGAATCCAAGAATTTGGGGGATTAATCAGAGTATATTGGTGGTTTCTGAGAAGATTTTCAACAAGTATGAACAATAATTAACAAGAGGACTTCAGATATTTTGTGGCTGTTGCAGGCTGATTCTTGGGCTCTTGGGGCACAAAAAGTAAAAACGAGAAGGTACTCACTTTGTAGTGTTACTGGTGAGAGTACTGTGGGTGGAATATTACAAGGTCATTTGCCAGATTACTTTATAGAATCCCACAGGCAATTATACACTTTCCTCAAAACTGAGCTGAGGACTCATGCAGCTTGATGTCCAGTGCTGACAGACTGATTTCATGGAAGCGGGTCAGGGAATGTTTCTTGATTTTTGAGGACTTCATCATTCTCTCAGGATGGAATCTATTTTAAGTGCAGTAGGCCAGGATCAGAAGGGGGCGGGGGCTTTAGGTGACTAGCAGGCTTACAGAGCTAGCTATTGATAGCGAGGGTGTTGGGTGACCACATGCAGGGCAGGCAGCGAAGAGTGCTTAAATGCCACACTAAAGGAAAGAAAGGGCATAATTGGAATCATTGGACCAGCTAGCTCCTAGGTAAACAAAACATGAGGAAAAGGCAAAGAACTCCAACCAGCATCAGCCTTGACTGCCAATAGCTGTTGCTGTGCATTATGGAAGGGAAGGCAGGTTTTCTCAGCGCGTTTGCCTGCACAGATAACACTGTTAGCAGGGTAATCTTCAGAAGAGGGAGAAAATTACATTTACATGTACATATGTGAGTGTGTGTGTATGTACCCGTCATGGAGGTGGTGTGTGAAATGGGTGGTGACTGTGTGTCTCTCTCCTATAGATGTCTCTGCATGAGAAAACCAAGAGTTGGGTAGAGGGAGAGATGCTCTCTGCTGGGAGCAAGAGAGAGGGGGTTTGCTGTCCTTGACTGACCTCTCAACTTTGTTGGTCCTAGACATTCCAGTCTAGCCCATGGGGACACAGTGCCCCCCTGTGGTTGGCATGCTTCTTCCTAACTTTCTCCAGCCCCGGTTCCCTTCCTCAGTTTCTCATTGTTCTTTTTGATTCTAGATTAAGCTACATAGGAAGGGCCTGATACCATGGTCTGTGGCTCCTGCCCATTCTCAAGATCAGAGCTCAGAGGCTCGGAGGAGAGGTGGGGTGACTTCATAGAAGCTGAGCCACAAACTCTCTCTGTTTTGTCTCTGCTTCAAGCTTAGGACTCCTGTTTCTCTCTTCCTCTCATTCTCAAGGAATGCGTTTCCCTGACTTCAGGGAAAGAAACCCAAGATAGTTAAGTGAGGGTTCAATGGGAAGAGAGGGCTCAATGGGAAGGAGAATAAACTAGAAGAACACATGATGAGAGACTTGTGGTTGCAGCTTGAGAATTCTGGAACTCATGAAGAGATTTTAAAGGGTGATTCTCTGAAGGTACACAGAAAACAGTGGGACTGCAGCAGGAGGGATGGATGCTGAGCTTCAGAGAGCACTCCTCTAAGAGTCAGGGAAAATGTCAGAGGAGGAGAGGCCACCTTTCTAGAGAGACTTTAGGACCAACTGGAAAGTGAGAGTCAGTTCTGACTAGAGGCTAGGAGTGTGGTCAGGGTAAACGATGCCAGAGCAGTGTAAGTTGTTTGCATCCTCTCTTCTCACCAACATCAGAATTTTCCCCAAATTGGATAAATATATAGTAAAAGTAGAATGCATTCTGTATTTGACATTCAACAAAGCTAAAGATAGTAACAGAACAAAATTGAAATAAAAAGGAAATGATCTACAACTGGCATCTTTAAGCATCCACACAGACTGGGGCTTGGGGGCATCATAACCCTTTTCTGCAACCCTTTTGGGTCACCTTTGCTAGTGGCCAGGGGCTTCTTCAAGTCAGTGGGGGTGATGTCAGGGCACTTGGCTGGCAGCCATTCTTTGTGCTCCAACAGACCGGAGCCAGGAGCCAGGGACTGTTTCCTATGGTGAGGGAGGCAAGACATGGGAAAATGCCCTCAGGGGAGGGGTGAGGTGGCGTGAATTGTCTCACAAGAGTCAGTCTGGAGCTCTTAGGCTTTTGTCCTCGGGTGTATCTGGTTCCCGTGTGCTGGTCTCTGACCAACATCCTCCTGTCCTGCTCGGGGATAGTCCCTAAACTCTGGTTTCTCTTTGCTGCTGTTCCCCACCTCCCTTTCTTCACATAAACTATCATCTTAGAACTGCAATATCCAACCCAGCCTCAGCTTGTAAGTAAAAGAAAGGTGGGGGGGCTCCAAAGTGTTACTTCAGACAACCATTTATTGGTGCAAAAATGGAAAGCTGGTTCCAGGTGGGAGGGCAGTTGGAGGTCCCATTCTTCTGTTTTCTGGTTTTTTTCTTCTGTTTAAATACATAAAAAATACATGTGTGGGCATGGAGAATGAGGCGTGGGGGAAGTGGCACAGGAGTTGAGGAGACTTGAAAACCATTCCACATAAATTCTCTTCTGACTATTCCAACAAGATTCTCCTCTTATCTTTTTTCCCATCCTGCGTATCTTCCCTCCTATTTTTATTTTTCACGATTAACTCTCATGATTCTAATTTTCTTCAGTTGCAACCTATCTCTCAAGGGTGAGTGAATCAAGGTTCACTCCTGAGACTGGTTTCTAGTCACCACACACTGGCTAACACAGCTCTCCCTCCTGTCCCGTGGTTGTCCTTCCATCCTTCCTCATTTCAAGCTCATTCAGAAATCACATTCATCTTCTGCTCCCTTATAACCCCCCTCTGGCTCCTTGCTTGGGATTCATATCTTTTCAAAATGATCTAGATTGTTCCTTTTCCTGATCCCAACGTTCCCTCTATGGAGCCATTCTCTAGCTTTATTCCTCCTCTTGATACAATATGGTTTGAACTAAAAATGGTTTTGGTCCTGGTTGGTAAGGATCCGGGGAAAAGGAAAAGAAATGGTCATGGGAAGAAAAGAAAGCATTAATGGCTGAAAGCAGAGGCAGCTGAAGGGGACTCCAAGGGCTCCTGGGATGGGAGGAGCCAAAAGGTGCATGACTCGCTCTTGCTTGAAATCTCCCAACCTCTGATCATTATCTCCAATGCTGATAGCATCAGTGACTCAGAAATATATGGAGAGTCTAATGTACTTCTCCTCAAGCCTCCTTTCTATAGTCATACAAACCCTCTGTACCAGAAATAGCTCTCTAATGTCTATATAATCGTGTCCCTGTCAATTCATCTCTTCCAAAGTCCTGGTAAGATCACTTGAGTTGAAAACAGTAGAGAATCAATGGCATGCTGGATGTCTTCTGTTTGCCCCTTCAGATTTCCTTATGACCTGTCCCTCATGCAGCTGACCTATCTGCAGTGCAGCAAGAGACAGTTTTGTCCTTTGGCTTCTTTTTGGTTATGGCCAACAAGAGACACTGGCAGTACACCAAAGAGTAGAAGGAGAGTGAGGGTATTCCTCCGGCTTCCTCATGGTCGAGTCCCTGCAGGTTGGTTGTATCCCTCTCCCCGCGGCCACAGCTCTTATTGGCCTCTCTAGCTCTTGGTAACTGCTCCCTTCTCTTCAGCTTAGGTGACAGCATTGTTACTACTCAGCCCCAGGGTATTGCACCATCATTTGCTCTGTCCAAACCCTGCCCACACTTTCCTACATAGTCCCTTTATTAAACTTGCCTCAATTATCCAACGTGTCTCTGCTTACTTCTGAGACTCTAACATATAAGATAGGGGATAAAGGTAAGGAAGGAGAAGAAAATCTATATAGTGAGCTTTTCTTAGAATCACGTTATTGTGGGTTGAAATAGCTATGTGATCATTATTTAACTTTTCTGAATGAACTTCCCTAGACTTACAATGGGGATAATATCTATCTGGCAGGGTTGGGAAGGTGAGATAACATATGGGAAAGCAATAGCACAGGGCCTGGGACACAGCAGGTGCTCAGCGTGGAATCTCTATTATTATTCCTACACACCAGGCACTATTCTGAGTGTATTACATGTGAGTGCATTTAGTACTGAAGGGAAAACAGAATAGGATGGTGCTTCAGGGAAATTATTTCCTGTGTCAGACATTTATATTTAGTTTTGCCTGAAGCTTGCCTTCTCCCTGATCCCTGGTGGGTAAGCTGGGCTTGTGAGGAGGTTTGTCTATCTCAATGTGTGGGGAAGGGGAGGGGATGGACAGGACACAGACTGAGATGAGAATGAAACTCAGGAGACCTTGTCTACCTAAAGGCCACTTGGGCTTCCACACTGAAAATATTAGAAGGGCAAACTGGTGAGAGGAATTGAGCTCACAGGCACACCTTCTCTTTCCCAATTTCTCCACTAAGTCTGAGCTACTCCTCCATCTCATGGGTCAGCAGCTGGCCAACTGCCACCCTGCTCCTCCTCAATTCCAGATAATCAGTTTTTGTATTTGTCCTTAGCAGTTTTTAAGAAAAGTAACACATTGTAGGGGTGACTCAAACTGAAAGGCAGATGGTCAAGTAGGGAGGGGCCAGAGGCACATTGGCAGGTAGAGCAGGCAGAAAAGAAAGCCACTAAGTCCTGGTAGGGCCAAGTAATCACCATAAGCATCTATCTGGCGCCTTTCTCCCTCTCTAAAGATACTGCTCCTTAATCCCTCAGCACAAGGCAGTTGGAAGGAGACAGAGGCTCAAAGAAGAGCAATAATGTCCCTGGGGCCACACAGAGCTCAGTGTGAAAAATAGGAACCAGATAGATCTAGGTCAGTTAGCCTGATCTCAAGAGTCTGTTGGACATGTTGTGGGTGGCTGATAATAGGTACTGGGAGTGGGGTGGGTGTGGTTAGTCTAGGAAAAATCTAGATCTGCATGGTTTCTGTTCTAAATGTCTTCTCTCTAAATGCTGGAACTCGGGCTCAGTTTCTCAACACCTCTGGGTAAGGTGGTAGCAGGTTGTTGAACTTTCAGCAATGCTCCCATGCCTCGGGGGCATGGCCCTTAACTGACAGAATGGCTAGTGGCCCTGATTCCAGAAGAAAATCACCCTTCCTGCTCCCCACTCCTCCACGTCCTGTACCAGGAAGCTCCTAAGCAACCCGGAGAAACAAAGTATAGCACGGCTGAAGGGGAAGGGTGAAGCAGACATTTATTACACACAGTAGCATAAATGGGACAAGAGTCAAATCTGGAGATGGTGTTTATGCAATTCTTCAATTTATAGGCAGTCAACCTAAACATCCTTTTCTCAGTCCTGGATGAGAAATGGGATCTCATGTAGGGAAACGCTGGGGCCCAGTTCATGGGGATGATGCCTAGTGAATGTCTCAGTGAAGAAATGTTTGAATGCCAAAGACATTTGGGAGGTGTCTCCTGTGGGTAGGAAGGAGGTCATCCTAGATAGGTCCATCAGAAAAATCAGGGATCTTTCAGGCCCACAGGGCAATAAAGGCCATAAAGGCGAAACCAGCAGCTACACAGCCCCACTTGGCTAGAGGGGCCTCAGGACCAGCTAGATCTCGGGGCAGAATTTCTAGGAAGGTGACATACAGGAAGGTGCCAGCTGCCACACCCTCTAATACAGCCTGTGCTAAGCCTCGCCCCCCTTCAGAGTCTCCTTGGGCCACAGCCAGCCCTACAGCAAGGCCCAGAGGGGACATGAGAGCTAATGACAGTATGGAGAACACGGCCCATCGTGATCCAGTGCCTGTCCGCACCAGCCGCAGTCCTACGCCAAACACTATGAGCCCCTTGTGAGCCAGGACAGCAAGACAGAGCTCCACGGTAGTGGCTACGGTGGGCTGCAGCCCCACAGCCAGACCTTCAAACACTGAGTGGAAGGAGAGTGAGAGCAAGAGGATAAGGGCTCGAAGGGGACCCCGTGAGGGTGAGGGCAGAGGCCCATGGCTGTGGAGTCCAAGGACATGAGCCCCACCCCATTCCTCCTCATGCACTGTTGATCCTTCAGCAGCCCCAGGACAGCACTGCAATGCCAGTGACTCCAAGAGGAAGACAAGGAAGAAGCCCAGGGAGATGACGAGCTCTCCATAGGGATACTCCATCTAGGAACAGAAAGAGGGGCTGTGAGATGGGAGAGGAAGGGAAGAAGTGCACTGGATGGACATGGCATTGAGAGAGCGAAGAGAAGCGAAATGTGGTAATAGAACATAAAAACAGGAGAGGAATGAAGCCCAGAGTAGATGTGGACATGCAACAACAGGAAGGCCAGAGGGACTAGGGGCACAATATCAATAGGATTAGAGATATGGGAAAATGACGTGAAGCAAGTCAAGGGTCCAGGGAAAGAATGGAAGAGTAGAGCAAGAGCTTTTTCTGGGATTCCCTAAACCCAAAAGGATTGGGTTGGCTTCTCCCTTCCCCTACAACATCTGAGCCGAGGAGCAGAAGGGATTCTTGGTATTCCCCACATACTCCCCTCAAAATGGTCTGGGTATGGAAGGAGTCTCTGGTTCTCCTCACCCTCGAGGTTGGGGCTGGTGGGAGACACTTACCTGAGCTGAATCAGCATCATCAGAAGAATTTCTCTTACTTTCTGTCCTGTTCTAGGGAGAAAAAAGCAAAAATTAGATGGGGATGGAGCAGCTCAGCTTCCTGTCCTGTCTCTTCCGTGGCACCGCTTTCCTTGAAGCCCAATCTGACCTGTTTTCATCATTCCACACATCCCAAGAGCTGTCATCTTCCCCGTCATTCCACCCGTGTCCCCCGCTCCATCACTTTTCCCCCTTTCTTCCCTTGGTTCTGTTCATTGTTCTGGACTCACAGCCCTATAGCTCAGCATCTCTGCAGCTCACCTGCATCACAAACTGCTGGATCTCTGATTCAATTCCCTCCAGGGCTTCAGCGGTCATGTGCATGAACCCTGCTCCCAGGAAAACACCAGCAGAAGTGCAGCCCAGGAGGCTGAGGACCCGGTGGTGACGACCTAATAAAAAGCAGGAGTTACAATCCAGTTGTCAACAAGGAGATACAAGAAGGTGATTAAAGAGCAACAAGCAGCACTCAATATCCCAAGCTTGGGGATGGTGAGAGAATCAGGGCAAGGTATCAGGATAGCGTGATAGGGTTGAAGTCAGACTTAGGTTATGGGGACAAAGATGTGGGCTATACCTGTGGCTGCATCAATCTGGAACCATTTGAAGCAGATGGGAATAAGGCCACAGACCAGAGTGAGAGCCAGCAGGGCAAACAGGCAACCAATTTTTACTCCTAGAAGTGGCTCCATCCTTGGGGTACAGGACAAGCAGAGGCCTCAGAATGACAAATGGAGTCGTAATCTTTAGAGGAGTGGTGTCTTAGGTGGTCAAAGCTGGAATGTCCACTCTCCTGAATTTCAGGAGACTGTTGGGATCCTCTTTCTGTTCTGTGTTGCCTCTGGTTGCACAGTCTTGCATAGCTGACTCGGGCCCTGCCCCAGCGTTCCGCCCTCCCCCTGCATGGAGGCCCCTCCCCTGGCTCATGCCTTCCTGAACCTTGAGACCAGAAACTCCAGACTCCCTGCCAGGCACAGTCCCCATGCTCTACGTCTTCTCCTCCTCTTCAATGCCATGACTAATCCAAGGGCTGTGGACGGTCTTCGTTCATGCCTGGGGCTGGTCTAACCCAAAATAAGAGTCTCTGGTAGTTACTTCCCAGCTGTTTTGTGTTGGGGACAATCTGGTCCTGCCTCACTCAAGACATTTGATCTAAGCCTTCCACATCCTTTCCACCCCACCCCAAGTCTTAGAGGTTGCTATGCTGATACTTGAACTGCACCCTTTCAGAAGGGATTTGGGGCCACCTGTGGGTAAGGAGGTGGGGCTGAGAGGTGGTGCTGCCATCGCTGTGAGAACTAGATGAGGGGATTCCCCTTTCCTGTAACCCCGCCCCCCCCAGGAAAATAGCTTCAGGCAAGGAAATGTCTAGTGGGAAGTTGAGGTTTCTAGTATTACAACATCGATATTACAACTTTTGACTGTTCCTGTTTCCTGATATATATTGCTGGAGAGGGACTGAGAGTTTTAAGACAGAGTCACTCTAGCTCTGAAACAGCAGGGCCCAGGGAAAACTGAGAAATGAACCAAGTACACTGAAGGGTCCTGCTTGTGTATACAGGGGTGGAGATGGCAGATTCAGTCCTGATGGGGATCAACTCTTGAGAGAAATATACTAGGCAAACTCCAGGGGAGCTGACGAACCCTGAGGAAGATGGAAGGGAATGAGGCAGCTGCTGGTTCTCCTATCCAGGTGGCCTGCCTAACAACCCTGAGACCTGTTGAGCCAGTTTGCAGAGAGCCGGGGTGGTTTTCCCACTACCCTAGATTACCTCCTTGGGAAGCCTGGTCTCAGGGAGAAGCAGTTCTTACTGGAGAGGGTGAGCTTGAGATTTGTGTGGGGAAACAGGCATTGAACATCTCAGGATCCTCTTCGTTATAGGATAGGCCATGACAACTGACCTCTATATCTTTTAAGACTCACAAGATCCATTTCCATTCTTTTTTTTTTTTTTGTGAGGAAGATCATCCCTGAGCTAACATCCATGCTAATCCTCCTCTTTTTGCTGAGGAACACTGGCTCTGAGCTAACATCTATTGCCTATCCTCCTACCCCCCACCCCCACCCCTCAAAGCCTCAGTAGATAGTTGTACTTCATAGTTGCACGTCCTTCTAGTTGCTGTATGTGGGACACGGCCTCAGCATGGCTGGAGAAGCGGTGCCTCGGTGCACGCCCAGGATCCGAACCCAGGCCCCCAGTAGCGGAGCGCGCGCACTTAACCGCTAAGCCACGGGGCCGGCCCTCCATTTCCATTCTTTGAAAACTTTTTATTTTTATTAAAACCTCAAACACACACAGATGTATAGGAGTATCAGCCCTTCCATCCTGGATACCAGGTAGCTTTAGCCTTGGCAGGCCTGACAGAAGAAAATTTTTGTTACATATCCTTGTCAGCTTTCAGGGGGATCTTTAGCAGGGGACGGAGGAAGCTCAGGCGGCGTGGTCACAGGTAAAAGATCTCCCCAGGAGCTGACACGGGCACAGCGATACAAATCCCTGTGGAAAAGAGAGGTCAACGTGGGCTGCAGGTTCTTGCCACCTCCCACTAATTTTGGTCACACCCTCTCTACCTGCCATGCCGGCGGCCTGTGATCACAGCATGCTGCATATGCCCATCTGGACAGCACAGGTGACAATGCACATGGCGTGGCCGTTTAAGGACAGGCTGAGTGATACGGGGCCAGCGATTAGCCTCCTCTGCAGACCCTCGGGCAAGGATTACCATTGAGAACTTTTCCTCCTTTGGCTTCTTGTTCTAAGATAAGGATATAGAGACTGTTTGGAGGAAAAAGATACAGGGAAAAAAATTGACCCCCATTCCTGCAGCCCTTTTCATATTCTATGAGTCATGCACATTCAGGCCCTAAAATCTCCAGGCTCTTCTCTGTATTTTCCAACTCTTCCCACCTCTGATTCTTTTTCATCCTGCTTTCCCAGGTTATTTTCTCCCTCCCGCAATATTCCCAGGGTACATACCCAGCTGAAGGGGATGGGATGGTAAGCCTGGGAAAAGCTACAGGCCAGGGGCTTAGATGCTGTCAACTGAGGACAAGGAAGTTCATGAGGACACTGTGAAGACACATAAAAGACACGAGGTAAGACAAAAGAATCATAGATCAGAAAACTGAAAAGCTAAGAGTCATAGAGTCAAGAAGGGTAAGGAATATGGGAGCACAGGAGCAGGGGGTAGGGAGAACCAGGGAGTCACTGAGAAAAAAACTGGATAGGGACACAAAGTAGTGGAGGGTGGCTTTGCTTCACCTCTCCCTTTTCCTGCCCACAGCTGAGGTCACATCTTTGTGAGCTGGGAAAGGTGGAAGTAATACTCACGGGGGCAAAGACAAAACCAGGTCGAGGGTCCAAAGGAGACTTCTCTCTCCCCTGAAATCAAAGGAAATCAGAAAAATTAAGCTGGGCCTGAGGGGTCTATTCTCATAACTCAATCTTTGCACTCAGTAAATTGAGGACTCCTTTAACATTCAATTCTGTTAATTATTAACTATGTTCTTTGAGTTAAGCTGGTTGCTTCTCTAAAACTCCAAACAAAGAACTTTTTCTCTGCAGCAGGAGAAAGGCAAGAACTTGGCACATAGTATGGTGCTCTCCCTTGTCAGCAACCTCCACTCTCAAAAATATCTGAATCCCGGACAATTAAATTTATGATTATACACTGGCTCATACGGCCCCAAAGAGATAAGGTTCTTGGCTCAGCAATGCCCTAGATCAGGGGTCGGCAAACTTCTTTTTTAAAGGTCTAGAGAGTAGGCAAAATTTGTTTCTGTCCCAACTATTCAACTCTGCCATCTGTAGTGAGAAAGTCCCCATAGACACAGACACAAAAATAAGCATGGCTCATACAAAAACAGGTAGCAGGCCAGATTTGATCCTAGTTTGCCAACCACTACCCTATATCATACTGACTTTATACGCCTAATATCCTGAGTGACCCTTCTCACTGTATGATAGAATTACCTTCAGTTTTTAAGGGAGTACTAGTAACTCGTGACAGACAGGTGGATGGAGGGGTGTGAAAAAAGGAGAAAAAAACCTTACCTTAAGGACCAGGTCCCGAGCATCCATGAGAAGGCAGTGCCCAGCTTTTGTTCCATTCTCCACCAGTATCTGTGCACAAAAGGAGAAAATAAGCAGAAGCCCTGAATGACATGAAAACATAAATGTCAGTAGCTCCTTAAGAACATTCACAGATGGAGTAGGGCTCCGAAGGGAAATAGACATTATATATAAGATGGGGATGAAGACCCTAAAAGAGGGACAAAGGGATCTATGCAGCAAAAAAAACGGTCAAGAATGATGACACGCTCTAATGGAGAGATGGAAAGGCAAGAAAACCATGAAAGTCGTTTAAAACTTGAACGGAAAAGGGATTTCAACTCACCAGAAAATGACTTGTCTTGCGCCATAAGGTTTGGACTACCTCCGTGCGGTCAGCCTTGCTGGGTAGTTCACTTAGGGAAAAGGCTGAGACCACCACATCGAATTGTACCTGAGGACCGAGACAAGACATATGACAGACCCACCACCTCTTCCTTCCAAGAGTACAACAAAGTTCTATCCCCTAAATTTCTTCGTCTTTCTTTTATCTTCTAAGAGTCAATGCTGGGTTGTGAAGCCGAGGCCACAGTTTCCCATCTGCCAACTTCCACATTCAGCACTCCTACACGCTGCCACTTGCCTTGGGTGATACAGGTAGAAACTGTCTGAAAAAGACACCTGGAACATAAGGCTCCCCAGATTCAGAACCACCTGTGGAGGAAAGCAGAGATGTGGCAACTATGAATGTACAGGTATGTATAAAGTGAAGTGATATCCTGACAAGAAACATGGCCCCGGGAATAAAGAAAAACGCTAGGTGAGAGTGAGATGCAATAGGGTAAGCAAATATTAAAAAGGGCAGGGAGAATGTTGGGTCTCCCGTCCTGTTAATCTTATCCAACCCATCCACAGTCCAGCAAAGGCCTCCACCTCCCTCTGCTTGACCATAATGTTGGAAGGAGATCAGATTCATCTTTAACTTTTAGCCCTCTCCTCTACTCCCCAATAAAACACCCTTTCTAGGACTCCTTTGCTTTCTTAACTCCTTCAACTTTGGAAAAGCCCTTCTTATACCTTGTCCTCACCTTTCAGTAGCTTTTCTGCCAAATCCAACATGGCAGCTGAGCTGTCCACACACATATATTCACGTAGGCTCTGGCCCCAAGTACTATGAGCAGCCCTAAGATGGCAAAATATAAATCGCCAATTCTCATGACAATGAGTCATCCCTACAAGAGACCACTCCACCTCCAACCCCACCCCTGCTGAAACAGAGTGTTATGTTAAAATAGTTGGAAAAACTAACAATTTTCGTTTACAACTCCTTAAAAAAAAAAAGGCAGACTGAAAAAACTACTTGTAGGCAAAAAATTTTGATGATATGTAAAACCTACACCCTAGACTAAATTCTTTTCCTTTTTTATCTTTCTAAACATGCGTCTTTTTTACTTGACATTTCTTTTAAGCTCTGGCCCTAATCCATAATCTTACGCCTTGCCTAACATGAGGCAAGAAACATTCTAGTTCCCAACTTTCCTATTCTCCCTCTGGTTCCACAGTGTCTTGATACTGAAGTGGTGTAGGCATGGCTCTCCAGAGCTAGAATTGACAGAGAAAGATACTCACCAGGTGACAGAACCAGTACCCGAACCAAAGTCCATCAAGGTTTGTGGTTGGAACTCTGGAATTCGAGCCCGGATCTGAAGAAATATATAACACCCCACATTAGGGTAAATAGACACTTATTTAGAGCCTTGGTGAATATGAATTAGGGGACTACGATAGAGGAGATGCGATGTGAACGTGTTTTGAGATTCAATGTAAATACTTTATAGGATAGGAAGCTCCTAAAAGAGTGATTCTAAATCTTTCTTGGGTCACAAAATCTTTTCAGAGGATAAAGAGGGCCTCTTTAAAGAAAGAAATGGACATGCAATGTCCCAAGAATCCTACCCCAGGAGACTACTTTATGAATCACGGAACTGATGGTAAAAGGGTTCAGGTTGAAGTTGAGGGACTTTCACCTCATGGAATGCCCTGGAGACTGCTGCAAAGCCACCATCCAGTCTTGCTGCCATGTACACCAGGCTCAGTCCCTCATTGTAGCTGCCAGGAAAATCAGAGAGTCATACCCACTGGAAAATAACTATCTATCCCATAGCTATCTTCTAGACTTTTAGGAAACGAAATCTTTAGAAAGGGCTCTTCCAATTCAACACTTTGACTCCTCAACAGAGAAGATTCTTGGGGAGCCTTACAAACCAGACAGCTTTTTCAAACACTAAACTGTGTAACTGTACTTCCCCAACTCTCCTTCTGAAGTCAAACTTTTCTTTCTTCTACAGCCCTTCTAGTCCCCCTTACCTCAGTTCTCGCCAGTGGTAGGTAGTTCTGCGCAGGGCATGCAGCACTGCTCCACAAAGTTTCTCCTCTGTCTGAGATGAGTCTGGGGTGAGAACAAGGACTGGAAGTGAGGACCTAGGAAGAACAGGGCTCAGATCCAGTATCTGAATATACTGCCTGCCCATTCCTCCCCAACTCCCACCAGGGAAAGCCTCAAAGCTTAGGAGAGAAGCCAAACCTAGAGAAAAAGTTCAGGTAAGAATAACGATGACTACCACCACCAACAGATTGCATCAGATAGTATTTCACCTCTACCAGCAGTTTATTCAACTCCATCAACCCTATCCCACAGGTTTTGTTCTTTATTCAAGGGAAGTATGGTAAAGAATCAAAGGATTGGATAAGGACAATATATTGTGGATTTCCTCCTTTCTCCCACACTTAAGATTGTGATGTCTTCAATGTTCCTATAGGGAGGAAAGGGGCTTGAATATCTTAAGCCTCATGACCGTGTTCAGTTCAGTACTATTTTATCTACTGAGCACCTACTATGAACCAGGCACTGTGGGAAGTGCAGGGAATACAAGACGAAGAAAAAGTAGGTCTGTAATATGAAGGAGCTCACAATCATGAAAATAACTTGACAAATTATACTTAGTATTCTCCTATCCCTGAAGAGGGTTCCAGTACTGGACAGGGAGCCATACAGGGACTTTATTTCACTTGAATAAAAACTTAGATGGTTCTAATCCAGCGGACTTGGAGGAAACAAATAAAGACCTAGATTTCAACAGGATACTGAAGCACTCGCTGACCTTTACCAAAGCCCCAAGGGCAATCTCTGAAATAATCTTTCTTCTTTTGATAAGACGTCATTGTAATAACTGCTCTGGCCAGAAAGTCAAGCAAGAAAACGCAGTATCTATTTGAGAGACGGTAATATTATTTCTTGCTCTTCACTTCTCACCGATATTTCAATTTGGCCTCTTTATTCTTAAGCCCTACCTGGGTTTTCCAAGAATTTTTTCTCAAGATGTACAGCCCGTCTTTGCAACTCCTCTGGCTCTATAGGTAAATGCCGGCTCCAGAGATAATTGGTCAGTGCTTGCACCTGCTTCTCCACATTGGGCATAGACCTCTCTACGGGCGAAAGATGAAAAGCGGCATCACTCGCGGGCAGCCCCAGTCTCCGCCTCTTCTCGAGCCTCCCTTTCCACCGTCACTCACCGAGCAGCAGTAACTGCGCGGCGTCAGCCAGGGCTTGCGGCAGCCGCACGCGCGGCAGCTGCAGGATGCCAGGGTGCCGGCGATGGGGCCTCTTCCCCAGAAAATCGGACTTGTTATCCACCTGGGATACGCCGGGCACGAGGGCGGCGAGAGCCTGCAGCCCGGGAAAAGAAAGCTGACTGCGAGGGGCAGAAGGCAAGGTTCTGGGCGTTCGCTTAGAGAGGAGCTGCCGAGAGCGCCTCCCAGAGATCCAGCGTCCCTCCGAGAACAGGGAAAAGCAGGCACTCACGCGAGACTGGGGAAGTACTCCAAGGCCGCGGCGCCATCTGCCTAATGTCAGCAGATACTTCAGTTCCAACGCGGTCGCCATGGCTCCCGAGGCGACCCGGAAACGGAAATGTAGGTGCCTGTGACCCTCGCGGGGACCATGCCCTGCGGAACAGCGGCACCGGGCAGTATTAGCCAATGAAGAGAGCCAGTGCTTGCTGGTAGCCAATAAACAATAGATATGTAAATCACCTTGCAGAGTAACTGTACATGGATCGGACTCGGACCTCGGTTCCCACGTAACTAGTCGCAAGCGAGGTGGCGTCGCGGCTGCGTTGGGACTGGTCTCCGGGTCCAGACATCGAGGGGGCGGGGCGCGGCGGGGCGGGGTGGGGAAGGGCCCTTTCCTGGAGTCTCTAGAAAGGCGCCTTAGACAGGCAAAGACTATTTCTGGGTGTAATAATTACCTGAGCTCCTTGCTTTCACTACGGAGAACTCTGAAGCCTTGGAGTTTTTTTCCCTTTGTGAAAAGAGTAGAATGGAGTAACGGAAAGATGAGATATGAAAAACCAGATTTAGGTGACCGAAGATAACAGAGATTTATAGTTAATAGAGTTAATGTTTTTTACATGTTAGTTTGTCTTCATATTAAACCGGCCCTCTTTGATAAATAGCTGACACTTAGAGCATTATGTGCCAGATACTGTGGCACGCACTTTTACGCAATATTACTCCATTTAGTCCCCACAATCCTATGAGGTAGATTCTGTTGTTAACCCCATTTTGCAGCTGAGAAAAGTGAGTCCTCAGGTGGTTAAATATCACGCCGAAGATCACAAAGCTTGTTAGGTGACAACTAGGTTTAAACCTAGGCAGTCTGAGTCTGAGCTTCACTTTTAAACATAAGTCCTACCTCACATTGTTGCTCCTTGGAATGCAAGTTAGCAAGTTAACTAAGAACAATATGCTAAATGTTCTGAAGTGTTAAGTTACCGTGTAGCATTAAAACAAACTCACTGTGTTGTAACCTGTTGATTCCTATAGCAAACATATTAATCAACTCTGGTATATCTTAACCTTTTGAGATAGAAATCTGTTGGCTGGAAGGATAGAAGTGTTGTTGCCTTTGCTGTAACTGAAAGAGTCCAGATATGATAATTATGAGATAGAATATGGGCAACTGTATCATCTGGAGAGTTAAATGTCTGGTTTGCATTTAGGTTATTAAGCTTTGATTCTAATAAAGGAGGTCTTTGCTTTATAATCTGAATACTCTGGAAGGAGACTTGAGGGGTGCTTAGGACAACTGTTGTAAATTCCCTACTCACTGCTCTCCTCCCTTTCAGGTTCACCTTCTTCATTTTGTTTCCCCACGCTTTGATTCACAGTGCTACACTTAGCCTCATGTCTGTGACACTTTGCTTTTACTTTAAATTGCTGGCTCAAGTATTAGCAAAATAAAATATCCCTGTCACTGTAGGTTAGCTGTAGCATAAGATTGGCTATGTTATTTTTTGTCATAGGGAGGTAGCAGAACATAGGGATAAGATGCTTGGCACCTGGAATCTGGCAGTTTGAATTTGAATTCTAGAACAGCAAGATAATAATAGTTGCTACCTCATAGGGTTATTGGAATGATGATTTCATGAGCTAATGTCTGGCCCAAAGTAAATGCTCAATATATTTATGATATTGTTATCATATATGTGATCATGTATTTTGGGAACTTGAAGGGACATAATCACATTTTTATTTATTTTTTTATTTATTTATTTTTTTCCCCCAAAGCCCCAGTAGATAGTTGTATGTCATAGCTGCACATCCTTCTAGTTGCTGTATGTGGGACGCAGCCTCAGCATGGCCAGAGAAGCGGTGCGTCGGTGCGCGCCTGGGATCCGAACCTGGGCCGCCAGCAGCGGAGCGCGCTCACTTAACCGCTAAGCCTCGGGGCTGGCCCCACATTTTAATTTTTATTATAAATTTATGTTTTATTTCCAAGACAGACTTGAAAGTGGGGATATTTGGGGCCAAGTAAGACTGAGCAGTGGAGACTGAGAAGTAAGGAGCAGGAGAACTTGGGTGGTGCCTCTGAATGTCCGTCTTGTTTTTCCCATCAAGCTGCCAACATAGCTGTGGCCTCCTTCATTCTAGCACTGGCCTAATTAGGATTGTTCTCTTCCTTTGGTAATACAACATCTCAAAAGCTGACTTGGACCTAATTTTAAGTGTCTTTGTTCTTAATCCAAAGTATTGTTCATAAAAACAAAAGAAAACAAAAACCTCCACACCATCCTCCTCATAGATCAAAGATGTCCTCAAGACATCTAAAACAGTGAACACAATTCTTGGTGCATTGAAAATGCTTAATCAATATTTGTTGATTATGTTGATAAAATGACCCCTCTTTGTTTTCATGCTTGGAAAAGGTCAGCAGAATAGACTAGTTTGAGGATCTGAGTCTAATCATTTGACCAGGTCACAATTCCCCAAATACATAGATGAGCCCATTTCACACCTAATCCGTAAATTCTGCCATGTTAGCATTGGTCATACCTTGACTTGGGTAGTATTTCCAATTAGTGGCTCTACATTAAAAGAAACAGACATAAATGTGGAGAAAATAGACAATATTAAGAGAAATAACCCCCACCCCCAAATTAAGTAAAGGAAAATAAAAAAGATTCTCTGAGGAAGATTTGGATAATCTGGTTGGAGATGGATGATGACCAACTGGTTTTCTCCACTGAGTTCATGAAAAAGGGAAATAACTAATAATTAGATTCAGAGAAACTCTCAACAATGAAGGTGTAAAGCAACTGCAATAAGTTTCTTGGGAAATTAAAGAAATTCTGCCATCAAAGATCCCAAATAGTATCCTTTTTATCTCCTGCTTCATTTCTTTTTGTTACCAAATTCTATTTAATCACAGTTCAGAAGCACTCTCCTAATTTCTGTTGAAGGTACATCAATAATATCAATGACCTCTGGAAGAATGTAGAGGACTAACGGGAAAAGTTGATTGGTGTTTACTTCAGAACAAAGGAGAAGGAGCAGGCTGCTCCAGCTCAGAGAGAGAGAGAAAGAGAAAATAAGGAGAAGAAGGAGGAGGAGGAGGTGGAGAAGGAGGGAAAGAAAGGAGGGAGGGACAAAGGGAGGTAGGGAGAGAGACAGACTGGCTTTCTGAAGACACAGCTGAAGCAACAGCTCAGAGGCAACATTCTGGAAGGAAGGAGTACCACATTTCAGGATGCAGTGTATTTATTAAACCAGAGACCTCTGAATAGTACTGTGTCCCCAATAGGAAGAATACATGATTCAGCAACCAAAGAGTAGAGGCAGGAATGGCTCCACTTACCGTCTTTGGTGAGGAAGACTGGCCTTGAGCTAACATCTGTTGCCAATCTTTCTCTTTTTGCTTGAGGAAGATTGTCCCTGAGCTAACATCTGTGCCAGTCTTCCTCTATTTTGTATGTGGGATGCCACCACAGTATGGCTTGATGAGCGGTGTGTTGGTCTGCACCTGGCATCCAAACCCGCAAACCCCGGGCCTCCAAAGCGGAGTGTGCGAACTTAACCACTGCACCACTGCACCGGCCCCATAAACTTGTTATTTTTGAGAGAAATTTTAAAGTAGCGATTCTTCTTGGTTATACCCTCTGTGACTTTGATTTTACTTATCAAGCCAGCAGAGCCATCTGGTGATGACCTGCACTACCTTTTCATCTTACGTTGTTTGCTTTTTATCTTTCCCAGATTTGATAAATGATTGTCCTCACCTGATCCACTGATGCAGCCACATAGGAGGTCCCAAGCCATAGTCTTGGTGCCAAAGGCAAGGCCATTCTTTCCCCTGTAATGTTCCTGGTTATGATGGTGATGAAAGTGGGTTCTCACTGGGGGTAGTTGACTGCTGCAATAGAAGGATTTTCTCTTCTTAGTTAAAATATAGCTCTCAGAGCTAGTTGGGGAAATATCCAATCCTCATTTCTAAGGCCCAGAGATACTGATATCCCTGGTTAACACTTGTGATAAATAGGCAGCATCCTCATTCACACCCTCCTTCACAGATTTACAGTTCAATATTTGGCCTATGCTGTATAATTATTGTCACAAGCAAGGTATGTGGGGACAAAATTTAGAGACTGCAGGCAGGTGTCTGTTTTGTTCACCACAATACACACAGCACTTTGCACAGTGCTTATCACATCAAAGGCACTCAGAGATGTCAGTTAAATAAATATTAGTGACCTAAGAATGTCTCTCTATTGTTTTCATAAGAATAAAAAGTTAACTGGACACAGTATCCTTTGTTTCTTGGTGTCCAGAGGGTAGTTTTTAGTTTTTTAGTGGAATGCCCTGGACTACTGTTGTCTGTATTCTACTCCTAGTGGCCTGCTCTTCGTACTTAGGAACTTTCAGAATGCCTTCTCTTTTGTTATGTCTTAGACATTTTTCAAAAGGCAATGTTTTTGTGTTGCTTCTGCTTATGGTGGGACTCTGTGATCTCTATCTAATTCTAAAAACAGCTCCCCACCCTTTGCCAAAGAATGTTTCTTCTATCTTTGATTATTGATTCTGTGTCTTTTTCTGTTCATTTTACGCATCTCAGTATATTTTAGGTCGATTCTCTGTGAATCAAGTGAGATGCATTATCCTTTTTTCCCCCTGTAATTAAAGACAGTGTCATTATCAACTGAATTAGAAACTCGTTCTAATGTTTAGATATTTAGGTTCCTGGTATTTGACTGAGCTTTGTAAACTGTACTTTGTACAGTGTAGAAATGGGGAGTTATAAAAATATTAATATATTCCAAAATAGAGATTTTGTGCTTTTTCAGGTTAGTAGGTCCTGTTAATAAATTAGAGGACCACATTAGATATTCAACAAGTAGGCGTTGTGCATTTCTACTTGTTGGACTTCTGTGTTGCTGGAATGCAATTAAACCTGACCCTGGTCAGGGTGATAGTTGTCCGAGAGCAGAGTGGATTTTACTCTCAGGAAAATTCTCTGAGAGTGACAAAGACTCACTAGATTGACCAAGTTGAGTAAGAATAGGTTGCCATACATCTCTCTTATGGCTTTCAAGGATTCAGCAGGCCATTTTGGCCAAGAACTATGAGAAGAAAGGATGTGTGTTTTATTTTGAGT